TTCGCACAAGCGTATGATGGCCATCGTTGAGGAGGAGAGGGAATTAAATATGGACGGGAGTGCCTTTACTGGCGCAACCACGACCAATGGCCTCTGTCAACAGCTCGAAAGCTCTGAAGGATATGTCAGGCTGAGACAATGGGCGGAGCGAAGCGGGTTCGGAATAAGCGGAAATTAATACTATGATGTTTGATTCGATTACCAGTCAATGCACGTTGGTGTTGTCATGTATTAGAGGTTAATTAGCAAGTCATGTCTCATTGAAGCCAGTCTTAATCCGGGGCTGATGCTTATAGGTGTCGAAATAGGAAACATCATTCTTTACATAGTAGTCATTATCGATGCCATTTCTGTCTACGCGGTGAGATTTGTGTTAGTCTGCATGTGGTGATTACAGTAGAGCAAAAACGAGAGTTTCATTATCCATGGTAAGTGTCTTTGGGAACACGCTCAGCCATGGAGTTATTGATAACAATACATTGACCGAATGGATTTGGAATCCTTCGAGCTCTTGTTCCACAAACCTACTAGTTTATCCCTATATTGTGACCAACACGAAGCGTCAAGAATAAGTAGAAATCTGTATGTGGAAGGATCGAAAGATCCGCGTGAAGATCTTGCCAGAAAAACAATAGTGCACTTCTTGACTGACTACCAACCGACAATCGGAGGTATCCCTCTCGTTTTTCGAGCGGAAGCTACAAACGGCGCCCGCAGGCAGGATTGACATACCACAACATGGGAACAACAAACGATACTGTTTCATCCCTGCTGCTATCCGCGTCTTCATTCAATCTATTCAAGCGGAGTCTTCCCCCAGAGGTGTAGACATATCCTCAAGGCAATCAGTAACAGTTCTTACTCCCTGAGGTACATCAGCTTGTAAGTTCCTCTGTCGCATAGCAACAGGTTTGTAACACCCAGTATACGAAGCGCTCACGAACCCTTCACCTCGCTCACGATCAATGGGGACGAAGACTTTGGCCGGTGAAGATGATGCCACTTTGAAATGACGCTCCTCGAGGTAACACCAGAATAGGATTGTACCAATGAACAAAGGCAACATCAATGGTGCTACTACTGCGGCTTCTTTGATTGCCAAAACGCCCATGACAGTGAACTCTGCAGAAATCAGACAAGCCAGGATGAAGCGGATCGCTCGAGTCCACAATTCACCCTTAGTGTCGCAACTTGGGGCGTACACCACCGCAAACTGATTCTTGTATACCAGGGAAAAGAACGAGAAAGCCATAGCCATCACGAAGCTGGATATTGGTGACATTACAAAATACACGAATAGTATCATGAAAAACAACATGATGGTAGAAAGCAC